ATATATATATATATATATATATATATATATATATATATATGACTGGTATCCTCGCGCAACACATGGCGACGAACATCTTCATTGCTCACCCGATGCCAGCTCCAGCTCCCGAGGTACTCAAAGCTCTCAACCACTTCCAGCTGATCACCACCAGCGTTTAGTGTTTTTATGCTAGAAGATCAAGGTGACTGCTAGAAAAGTTGCACCACTACAGACAACTCATTCTTTACATGAATAATTATACTGATTGTTCAGAATATTTATTTTCCAAATAAAAGTCACGTGCCAGAGAAATCACATTGTCCGAGCACAATCTAACACCATCGCATAGATTCCAGTCACCTGTGACAGTTTGAATCCATCTTCTGTTGCACTGTACGATAGTGTGCATCATACATTTTGGCCATAAAAACGAGAACTCACTTGATTATCCGTTCTTTAACATCATTATTGTCCTCTTTTGACAGAATGCCGTAACTACCAACTGTTTTTTAAATGCTCCACCCTCTTGATTTCATATTCAATGAAATGACTTGTATTTCAGAAGCATTTGAGGCCTACTGTGATGCGATAGAGAAAACGGCGGCCTGGGGTGGCCAGATAGAAGTACGTTCGTGTTTTATTTTTCTTTGATCAATAACGGTGCGCATATGGATAGCTCTAAACTTCACTAGATACGCTCTGTTCTTGCCATCTCTCTGCTTGTGTTTCAAATTTTCTTAGAGATGAAATTTCAAGTTATTTCGTGAGTGACAGCGCTATACTTCATCGGGACACGGTGCGGAGTGTGATATACAAACCATCACCTACATCCCGTATTATTCAAGTCTCCTCGCATGTGTTATTTTTGGATGGTAAAGGTGTTGGTAGTTATCATTTTGGTCATACTCAGGTGGTCAACTCACTGTCACTGACATGTGCTCATCCCCAATGTTCGATAACAACTCTGGTGGTAGAGGCGGTGGAGGACTTCGCTACCACCCGACTCGGCATCTAGCTTATCCCATCCTATCCCGGTTTACCCTATTTCTTCATTTCGAGTCCAAGGTACTGAATTCCATAATCGGATAGTATCTCCTGGTATGTATTATGTTGTTCCCCTTCAGTTCAGCTTGTACAACCATTTACCACGCCCCTTCGCACTGCAGTTGCTGTCTTTCGGCTGCTTGTTTGGGTGAAGGAGTAGAACAAAGAATAGAAAATTGAAAGTAAAGTCTAAGAGGAAGTAGAGAATTTCAGTAGATTAAGGTTGCCAAAAAATTAAGACGATGCATGAGCACCACTGTTTATGACAGTCATATAACTTACAATGATCCCGAGGTCCCCACCCAGGGAACCTAACGCGACGTATATAACCGAGTTTCCTGATTAAGGTTTTCTTCCCCTCATTCTGGGTCTTTTTTTCACCCAACATCTACCTCGACAAACATCGCTCGCCGTGGCAGTCTATTTGGTGACATATGTATCACATGCCCCAGCCGCCGTAATCCAGTGGGCACCCGCAATTACCTAAAACTGCTAACCTCAGCATTGCTCATCCGGTTTGCTCACCAGACTCGTAGAATGTGACGTAGACAGTGGTGCTCGAACGCCGGTAGTTTATCTTTGTCCTGTTTTTGTTGTGGCCAAGTTTCTGCATCGTGTAGCAGAACTGGCCGAACTGCTGCAGTATAAAGATATCGCAATATTTAAATGAACTTCTCGGGCACACCGTTCGGAGAAATGCAGCACACTGTATCATATTTTCCCGATCATAGGGAACTACGGTCTGTTGAAAAGTGTGGATTATCTAATTCTGGAAACTTTATTCCCCTTATTGCATAGGGTTCAGTAGAAATGATGTAGGGCTCTAAAATCAGCATTGCATATACCTGTTCCATTACGTAAAAGTGATTGAATTTTGATATTATGTTCTCAACTATACTACCCCGGTTTGATTGTCTAATGCAAATGAGATAGTCTGTGGAAAAAATTTTCGGTGCTTTAACGAACATACTTCGGCCAGTAGCCCATTGACCTTTTTTTCTTTTTCATTTTTACTTCCTTTTATTGAATATACAAAGATACAATTTTCAGGAAGGGGGAAGCGGCCAATCAAAGGACTGCCATTCAACACAACGGGGAAAGTCAGGCAGTGGTGGTGGGATTTGAACACATCCCCGGGGTGATAATTTGGTGACGTTACCACCGGATCACCACCGCCGGTGTGTAATAGGTATTATTTCACGGCTCGTTTGTTTTACTGCTTCCATGCTTTGACGTGATTAGCACATTTTATGCGGACCTTGGTTAAACCGGCTTTATGCGCAAGCAGCTTTTTTACATTCGTTATCGCACAGCAAATACAGTGAAGCGGACTTGACTAATCGCTACTAAACTCGTAATGAATACAACGTTAGTGGGACAAGGATCGAACTTTAATCGAGGAAGGGAAAAAAGTGAACCTCTGTTTTCAACATAAATACCGTCTAATCATGTATATATACCTTTTCAAGCATTCTGACCAGATAAGAAATGATAACAAGAACCCCGCTGTTGTCGGTTCACTGTCGTATCCCTCAGTGTCTCCAACGAACCAGTTGAAGAGTTTTGTGGACCTGCACCTGGAAGGTGCGAAACACTTACTCTACCTAATGGCTCTTTTTACTTTCAACGTCGTTTTTCGTGCCGTGCACTTAAACATGTAATTGTCTACTTCCCGGATAGACCAGTTTTTGTCACGTATGGCGTTTGCTCTATTTCCGATGTCAACATTTCTGACGTGCTGTTGTATCATCCTCTAAAACGTCGCGTAGACTGCTACACTAAGCGGCCTTGTCTACCACTGTTTGAGCCCTTCCCGCAGCAAATATGAAAGTTTGGTTTACCCATCGTCGACAGAAATCTCAAATGCTATATATAGCAGAAGCTTTACCTCGTTGTTGCTGCAATATTTTCTCCCGAAGAAAGCAGTCCCTTGAGAAACTGTCACCGGTTTTTCATCCGTTTGGTCTGCGCAATTGGGTTCCTCTCTTTCCCCATAGTTTTTAAATACTTATTCATTTGGTCTTAAAAGGACCGCATTTTGCATTTATCACTAATAATAAGCTTACTTTCTTTCAAGATTCAATCTCACTATGATGTGAAAGAAATAAGCGATTGACGTGTTTTCAAGATGATTGTGATCGACTCCCTTTCATTCCCGATCTTAGGTTCGCGCACTGTCCAACGTATTCCGACTCCCAATTGAGGTGCTTCAAGCAGAAGGACAATCTGTCCTCATCGGAGACGAATTCGGTGGACCTCCGATCACGATCGTGTAAGTCTGAATAAACATTTTAACAAAGCCAAACACAATCTGCGTTAAAAAAGTTTCTCCCGAAGTAAATTTGCATCTTTTAAAGATTATGTTAGAACACTATCTGCTCATGTGTTTACCACCCTCAGCTGCTGAAATACCGTGACTTTTCACTAGGGGATTTTGTGTTCTTACACCGTTACTGCATAATTCTGCGGGTTTTTACTGTATACCTTTAGATTGAGTTGCAACAGATTCAGAAATGAAATATCTGGAAAAAGTTCTATTTATAATGCTTGCCATATGTTTCTGTGTGGGATTTTTTTCACGCCGATATATAACACAGTAAACTGCGCTCCAGAAACGCCGTATAGGGCAGACTAGAACATTCATTTTAGAACGATTTTGTTGCTTCTGCCGTAGAAATGGTTGAAGTTATAGTTGAGATGAAAAATGGAAAAGGATGGATGGCTTCATAATCTTTCTTAAGAAAATAGAGAACTGATTATCAGTGGTGTGGTATTTAGCCATGGCAACTAGGTATGTGTGACAAACGGCTTGTGCAGAAAAGGCATATGAAAATCGGGAGGAAGAGACAACAAATTCAGTCTGATGGAAGCGGAAACTTTGATACCAAACTATAAAAGAGAAGTAGATTAATAAAAACCCTCGGAAAGACTGCGAATTGTAATTGATGGAGAAATGGCATCATGAAGACGAATAACTTTAGGTTGGCTCCGATCAAAGAACAAGGTCTGTACTAATGGTCATTCAGAAATGCGCTTTGTTTCAAACAGTCGTGACTGGAGATTCCACGATTTATTGTACAATATGGCTTGGTAAAATTCAGTTGTGGTTATTAGGACTTAGCGGGGCATCTCTTTCTATAATTTGAAAACTTTTGGTATGCCTACAACAAAAGATGAAAGTCAATTCAGTGGCACCTATTTTAGAAACAATGTCTGCTTGAAGAACCTTCCTAGTGGTGATCTGGAAATTGAATTGTTAATCCGCTTGCCATTTGGAAGGGGAAACAGTAGTGAAGTGAAGTGAATCAAGCGGAGTTAGAGACTAACTGTGGGGCAAAGCTTTGTATTTTTCTCTTGGCTCAGAAATAAGACAATAATATGAGTTTGTAAGGGAAAAGCTTCGAGTGATAGTCTATTCAATGAACCAGAATTTTCGGCCTCAGGACAAAGCCATTATTAATTTACAGACACTCTGGAGGACACTGTTTCCTGGCCCTTTGGATCACTGACCAGAATTTGTTTTGAGTTGGTAGAAGACCGGATCAGAAGACTGCAGGTAGCACCGATGAATCAGTGTGAACTTTTTCTAACTGCTAAGTTTTGTTGGCTGAACATCTCGTCTCACTCACCGTCACAGCTCATTTGTATCGTTTGAAGTGGTCCCCACGTAAATTGACGAAAAACCAACATAAGAATCTCTGTGGATTTGTGCACTGACCTTTCGATCTAATCTCTCCTTTTACGCTGTGACACTACGGAATTTTGTTGTTTTTGGTAACTCAAAACAGCCATAGACCAGTGACCGAACACTGCAACTCAATAAGGGAGAAAGAAAGAGAAGAGTGCATCACCGATTACCAGTCAATCTGAATTGTTTTTTGCCTTGAAAGGCTTCGAGTTTCCAGTACTCTTCCTAAATGTCTGAAAATAAGAATGACGGGGTCACTCTAGCAAACTTGGACTGTGGNTAGCTATTTTTTGTCCACCTCAAACAGAAGAAAAGCATCTTCAGGAGTTCGCGGTTGATGAGCCTAGCAAAAAAAACTTGTTTCTGATGTTGCACATCAAGCTCAATATCGCACATTAAAGCAAGGTTTGCCTACTAATGATAGATGGAAGAATATGGGTTTTACAATTGAAGGGGTAGAGAAAAACTAATGTAACAAGCATATCCACCATTACAAGGTTCTTTTATTTAAAGCTATTTCATCTGATGGAAGAATTAAGCTAGTATTCATTCACGGAACCGGGAATAATCCGAATTACTAAAATATATAAACAGAACTATGTGAATCGCTGCTAGAAGGGAGATAAAGTTTGTCTTTGAGGACGCTAAAACTGGCCACACAATATTACCCTCTTTATATCCATGCTAGTAACAGATATATCGCCCTACCGAGACGCGCCTTTCGATGAGTCAAACAGGATCTGTATTGAATGTCAGACCACAGTTGTTTAACATGCACGTTAGTGTACGTTTCTAATCGCGAAACACATGTATCTGGTTTGACCATTATGAGGTTACTAATCGATTCCTCTACAGATATAAAATTATTTTTATATGAGAGGAATAGAGGATTTGATTTGACTAGATGATGAATTCGTCGTGTAAATGAGGCGTGAACTGAAAAGCTAGGAAGCGCTAGATAGGTGTTTCGACTTGTTTGGGTTTCAACAGCAGTGCGAACCCATCAATCTGCTGCGGATCGAACCGGAGACCTCACGGGTGGAACACACTTGGACACCGGGCAGCTCATCAGACCATTTCTCATTTTGAATATACACGATATAGCACAACCCGTCTTTGCAAGATTGTTGCGGACGTTGGAGCTTGCTCATCTCAGCACTATCTTTTTAGCCCACATCTCATTTGTGCGATGAATTCATCATCTAATCAAATTGTGTTTCATTGTCACTTTCCGCTTGCCACAGGTGGCCAACCACGATCAGACCGCCGATGACACTGAATCTCAATGAAGGTCAACTAAGAACAGTTTGCAAACACGAGGTCATCTGATTGCATCTGTTTCTACCGGATGATTCAACAAATAGGAAACACCACTGGTCCATTTGCACTTTAAACTGTAAAAACTGGGTCAAATCACAAAGCATGATCGCAACTCACAAACTCATTCACCTCTCGCCCCCTCTGAATCGTTTGTGCATCGGGCGATAGAAAATCGACTGTTCTGTTTCAACCTTTGGTTGATCGTGAAAAATAAGACAAAGTTGTCATGGTTGTTAGAAAGTGCATTCAGTCTCACTAACCTTATCTGGTCTGAGTTTTCGGGGAACACGCAAACAATTCTAAACGCTAAACCGAAAATCGACCGCTTCAACTGTGAAGTAATTCCAAGGGCGTTTTCCTCAGGCCGGGTTGGTTCATAGGAGAGAACTAAGGGGTTCAGCAAGAAACGGGTAACCGTGGAGGGGATAAAGAATTTAAAAACGCTTGTGGCTTCAAACCCACAGCTTTCAGTTCGAAAATCACCTCTGCAACTTTCTCCTAGTTATTCATCCATACAGCACATGTTGTCTCATCTTTCCTTCCACCCATAAACATTTTTTTAGACAGTTGCGATGAAAGATTCAGGTTGGTCAAAGCCTGTGGAATATACAGAATAATTTAACCACACATTGCCAAGGGTCGTTGGTGTAAGATATGGTTTGGTTTTGAGGCTTTTTCTATCTTCATGGAGTGAACGGATAAAAGCAAGTTTCTTTGACACTTCATCATTCGATCTCATAGCAGCGAAATACTTGTCGGTGAAACTCCATGATAATGATGAATTCGCAACAGTGATATTATCTATTGAAAACACTTATTCGTTGTTCAACACATCCCGGCCAAAGTGGCTTTAGTAACATTTTTATGATGTAAATAATGATTAGTCCATAATTCTGTGGATACTGCATTCCGTGTGTTTAAAAAATGTACACCATGTTTTCTATTTGGTTAAAAAAAATGTTTAGACCACCCTTATGATCCGCTATATTTGGGTTAGTGTGACGCACCGAAGCAACCTTGTTTCCTATTTTGCATTCCGATAAAAGAATGTTTTTTCATGTTGACATTGTCTATTAGAGCTTAGAGATGAAAACTGAATTATGATCTACCGAACCTGGACTTTGTTTTTCTTCTATCAAATCAACTAGGAGTGCCAAGTCTAGCCAACCAATTGATCCAGTTCTTTGTCCCTATTCCCTTGCAGCTATCACAGACATGTGTATGCACTGGGTGAACACTACAACTCCTGCATACCTGTTTGACTTTCTTCGCCCCTGTACACAAAACTGTCTCCATCATTCAGACGTTGCCCATCGTGGATCGTATGACGCTCAGGCTCTCACCGTCCCTTCCCCTCCCCCGTTCCTGATACCGATTGGATGACCGATCGCGGGGTGCTTATCTAGTGGCTTTCATGTTTTGCTTTCCATGATGCAGTCTCATTGGACAGCTGCAGCGCTCGTTTATGGCCATGACACGCTGATCGGTTCACCCCTACGCGCTGGGGGAAGATACAATACTCTGATTGTAGATAGGGTGCACACTGTACGGAATCGATTGTTCCTCATTTTGTTTTGTTCTTCTGAGCTGTGCTCGTGCTTTTGGTGCTTTTCATAATTTTTGGAAATCAGTGGAACTTCTTCCCGAAAATTTGGTCGTTGTAGGTATATCACTATTAGTTAATACAGCGATTTAGCATTCTCTTCTGCACAGCGTTATAAAAGTCTAGTGAGGCAAACAAACAAGCTACGCTAGATAGTTTCGGCCGTTACTTTCATTGAGTGAGGTGACTATCTTGTGTATTATGCGTATAATTGGCGAGACTTCCTGGACGTACGAGATTTCTCCAGTCATGTAAGATAAGTAGAACAAACGCTGGCATGATGGTATAAGAAAACCTGACCGACCACTTAGATCGTTTACACATCTCAATCGAGAGAGGGGCCTAACCGGTAGTTTGATATACCATTTTCTCATTCAATCAGTTTCCTCAAGCACTCTACCCTTAGTCTAGTGGTTATCCACACAAACTTACCAAGACATTCAATTATCTGAACCGTCCTGTTTGCAATCGGAATCTTTGCACGAGTAGCCTAACACCTGAATCGATTTCTCCAGCAAACATAACTGTGGTGAACCCTACCCAACAATCCGGAGCTATACTATATCGGTTCACTGTTTTATTCGCTTATGCCACGCAGTCAATAATGTAGTTTTGGGCGTGGGAAATTAGGTCTAAAGTCATGGAATTTAATTGTGTGTAGTTCT